GTGTTTGGGGCACAACTCAAAATAATGAGAAACAGCAGTTGTTATTGTTGTTATGTGCCTGGAGTCGGTTAAACATCCATTAATAATCAAATCATGGAATGTACGAACTTTGAATCTACGAAAATTGGAAGTTGTCAGAAATGAAACGGAACATGTAAAGATTGATATCCGAGTATTAATATGCTGAAATGAACTGGTATTGTCCATTTGAATCTGGCAATCCATATGGTTTACTATGCCAGAAATGACAAATAAAAGAGGAATGGTGTTACATTCATTACCAAAAAGACTATTTCAAGATCTCTCTTGAAGTATAATGCTCTCTGCGATAGAATAATATCCATACACTTAAAAGGAAGACCAGTTAACACCATTATTATTCGGTTTTACACACCAACCACTGAAGCCAGTAGTAATGAAACTAAAGTATTCCACCAACTCTTTCAGTCTGAAATTGATCAAACATGCAGTGAAGGTGTATTGATAATCACTGGTGATTGGAATACAAAAGTTGAAAATAAAGAGGAAGGATCAGTATTTGGAAAATATAGCATTGGTGATAGAAATGATGCTGGAGACTGTATGATAGAATTTTGCAAGATCAATAAATTATTCATTGCAAATACCTTTTTAAACAACATAAAAAACAACTACACACATTGACCTCACCAGATGGAATACACAGGAATCAAATTAACTGTATCTGTGGAAAAGACATTGGCAAAGCTCCATATTATCACCCAAAATAAGGCCAGGACAGACTGTGAAATGACTATCAATTGCTCATATTCAAGTTCAGGTTGAAGCTGAAAAAAATTAAAGGAAGTCTACAAGAGCCAAAATATGACCCACCTAAATTTAGACATCATCTAAAGAGCAGATTTGATGTATTACACACATGATGCATTAGACACACTAATGATCAAAGTCTGGAAGAATTGTGGGATGACATCAAGAACATCATACAGGAAGAAAGCAAAAGGTCATTAAGAAGACAAGAAAGAAGGAAAAGACCAAAATGGATGTCACAATAGACTCTGAAACTTGCACTCCAATGTAGAGATGCTAAAGCAAATGGAAGAAATGAGGAAGTAAAAGAGCTGAATTTCAAAGGCTAGCTGGAGATGAAAAAGTCAAGTATAATAGTGAAATGTGCAAAGATGTGTAGTTAGAAAATCAAGAAAACAATATGCTCAGCATTTCTCAACCTGAAAGAACTAAAGAAAAAATTCAAGTCCCAGCATGCAATATTCAAGGATTCTATAGGATCCCTGGTGTGGTGCTGTGGGTTAATGCGCTAGACTGCAAAGTTGGTTTGAACTAACTGCAAAGTTGGTTTGAACTACAAGATAGGCAGTTCAAGCTCACCAGCTGCTCCTAGGAAACCTGTCGCTATGGGTCGTAACTGACTCAACTCAACTTAACAACAACAATGGGCAAAATATTGACTGATGCAGAAAGCATCAAATGAAGATGGAAGAAATACACGGAGTTACTGTACCAAAAAGAAGTGGTTGATATTCAACCAAATCAAGGGGTAGCAATGGTACTGAAGACAGAAGCACTGAGGGCATTAGCCAAGAACAAGACTTTGTGAATAGATGGAATACAAATTAAAATCTTCAACAAATTGCTGCAGCACTGGAGGCACTCATTCATCCATGCCAAGAAATTTGGAAGACCTAGCCTACGGTTTAGAAGAGAACCACATTTTGTTTCCATTCCAAACATCGACGGAATGCAGAAATCATCTAACTATATCAGTAATATCACTTGCAAGTAAAATTTTGCTAAAGATAACTCAAAAACAGCTGCAACTATAAATTGTCAGGGAACTGCTAGAGGTTCAAGCCAGATTCAGACAAGGTCGTGGAATGAGGGATATCATTGCTGACATTAGATGGATCTTGGATGAAAAGCAGATAATACCAAAAAGATGTTTGCCTGTGATTTATTGACTATGCAAAGGCTTTCGACTGCGTGGGTCATGACAAGCTATGGATAACATTGTGAAGAATGAGTATTTCAAAACACTTCATTGTGCTCATGAGGAACCTGTACATAGACCAAGAGGCAGTAGTTCAGACAGAACAAGGGTACACTGAATGGTTTAAAATCAGGAAAGGTGTGTGCCAGGGTTGTATTCTTTCACCATACTTATTCAATCTGTGCACTGGGCAAGTAATCCAAGAAACTGGATTATATGAAGAAGAACATGGCATCAGGATTGGAGGAAGAATCATTAATAACCTGCAATATGCAGATGATACAACTTTGCCTGCTGAAAGCAAGCAAAGTTTTATAATACTTAGTAAGTACTCTTATAAAGGAGCTCTGGTAGCACAGTGGTTACGAATTGGGCTGCTAACCTCGAGGTCGGCAGTTCGAAACTACCAGCTGTTCCACGGGAGGAGGAGGCTTTCTGCACCCGTAAAGATGTACAGCCTTGGAAACTCTGCACAGGGTCGCTATGAGTCGGAACCGACTCCACGGCACATCACAACAACAGCAACAACAACAAACTTAATAAGGAGCTCTGGTAGCATAGTGGTTACGAATCGGATTGCTAATCTCACGGTCAGCAGTTCAAAACTACCAGCTGTTCTGCGGGAGAAAGATGAGGCTTTCTGCTCCTGCAGGGTTGCACCTCAATGTAAAGAAAACGAAAATTATCCCTCCACCCCATGACCCTGATCTTCCGTGACCTTCACACCCTCGATCACACCTAGGCTGGTGGAGTTAACTTTCACCTCACCCTGCTCTCAGTACTGTGAGGATGGGAGGAAATCCTTTGTACATATTTGTATAAAAAGTATTGACTTTCCTTTGGAGTTTTCATATTTTTAAGAAAAAAAAAAAACCAGTAGATTTAGAGCTCTGAACTTTTTTTTTTGGAAGTTCACTCTCTGCAGTTTTATCTGAGTGGAAAAAAATAGAGATGTTGGGAGATTATAAATATATTTTTTTTTCAAAAAGTGTCATTCTATTATAGGAGCTATTTATATATTAATGGATCTATATGGTATTCTAAAAGGAGCTCTGATGGCATAAGGCTGATGGTCAGCAGATCAAACTATCAGCAGTTCCGCGGGAGAAAGATGAGGCTTTCTGTTCCGGAAAGATTTACAGCCTCGGAAACCCTATACTGGGTTGCTATGATATTATTCCATCATGTTGTACACAACTTTGAAAATAATTTTTTTTAATGTTCAAAATAAAAAAATACTATCATGATGAATGGAGAAAAGTTTTGAAGTTGTAAAAGCCTTCATTTTTCTTGGATCCACAATCAACACTCTTGAAAGCAGCAGTCAAGAGATCAAACGACGTAATTGCATTAGGCAAATCTGTGGCACAAGACCTCTTTAAAGTGTTCAAGAGCAAAGCTGTCAGTTTGAGGACTAAGGTGTGCCTGACTCAAGCCATGGTATTTTCAGTAACCTCATGTACATGTAAAAGCTGGTCAGTGAATAAGGAAGACCATGGAAGAATCAATGCATTTGAGTTATGGTGGTGAACGATAATATTAAAAGTACCATGGATTGTCAGAAGAACAAACAAATCTGTCTTGGAAGAAGTACAACCAGAATACTTCTTAGAGGCCAGGATGGAAAGACTTCATCTCTCATACTTCTGACGTATTATCAGGAGTGACCAGTCCCTGGAGAAGGACATCAAGCTTGGTAATATGGAAGGTCAGTGAAATAGAGGAAGACCCCCAACGAGATAAATTGTCACATTGGCAGCAGCAGTGGACTCAAGTGTAACAACAATTGTGAGGATGGAGTAGGCCCAGGTAGTATTTCCTTCTGCTGTGCATAAGGTCACTATGATTCATAACTGACTAGAGGGCACCTGACAACAACAAACCTTTTGGGTCTTAAAAAACCTTCTGATGTTGCCTCTCTGCCTTGAATTGAATTGACCCAGTAGATCCCCTCTGAAGTTACTGTTTTAATTGGACCTTTTTTATTAAAGGCACCCTAATTGGAAATCCTGTATAGGGTCGCTATGAGTCAGAACCGACTCCACGGCACATAACAACAACAACAAATGGAGTCCTGGTGTGGCGCTGTGGGTTAATGCGCCAGACTGCAAAGCCGTTTGAACTGCAAGGTTGGTGGTTCAAGCTCACCAGCTGCTCTTCAGAAACCCTACACAGGGTCGCTATGGGTCGGGATCGACTCGACGGCACTTAACAACAACAACAAATGAGAAAATTACTGTGTATTACTGAAAGAACTTGTCTGTAGCCATCCTGTGATCTCAAAGACACGTATAAACATGTTTTGTTTGGAATAAGCCCCTGCATTTATTAACTGTAAACCTAGTGGCAATACTTTTTGATTTATTCTTTTATTAGCGGATGATTATATTTTGAGACACAGATATGACAATAGTCAGGAAATTAGTCCATTAATTGAAGGTTTGGCAAGTTCGGTTCTAGAAGGTACTAGTTGGCCAAATCTTTTTAATATTGCCTTTCTTTCTTTCTTTTTACTTTCAATCTTAGTGTCTCAGAGTGAAGCTGCACGGAGAATAAATTGCTTACAGGGAAAAAAAATAGTTGCGAACGGTTTTAATAATGACTCTGATAACTTTTCGGGAGTGTCAGCAAAGACTTATTGCTTTTCTGGCAGAGTATGGAGAACCGCTTATCTTCTCTTTGGATCTGGGCTTCTGAGCCATTGCTCCCTCTCCTTGTGGCAGGCAGGGTTCTGAAATGTGTATAGACACTAACATGCCTGCTGTCTTGTTCATAACCACTTCAGCTATTTCTTGTGGGCTCTAGGTGTGTGCGTGTAACAATGGTAACAAGATAATGTGCTGTGGTTACCCCTATTATTTATATTAAGTAGTGATATGATAATATTGGTGGCCTGTAATTCTCCATTTTCTGTTTAACCACCCTGCCCAAGTAAACTGTTTTCTGATCTCTCTTAGATGGAAATCCTGTATGAACGTGGAAGCCATTAGCAGAGTAATTGCTGTCTGTTACCATGACAACCAGCCGCTGCAGTCACCTGCCCGAAGTCCTGCCAGACTGCACCAGTTCGGCTGTGCCCGTGGTGAAGACTGTGGAGGATTGTGGCAGCCTAGTGAATGGGCAGCCACAGTATGTCATGCAAGTCTCAGCCAAGGACGGGCAGCTGCTGTCAACAGTAGTGCGGACTCTTGCCACCCAGAGGTAGTAGCACAATTAAATCCGTGAATCTGTAATTGATCCGGAGAACTCTTTGTCAGGTGGAAACTGCTAAAGAGGGGATGTAATTAATGCTCAGGTCTTTGTGGCAGGTGAGAGGAGGTGGTGGGGAGAAAAAACAAGAAGAAAATAGGAGGACTGCAGAGTTCTGACATGGCCGTTTCTATAGCAATGGGGTATAAAGCTAAAATTCATGCTGTCTAGTTTCCTGCTTAAAGTCACACTTGCCGAGAGCCAGGCAGGAAGGATCCCACCAGACGTGAGGTTGGTTGCTTTACATTTGTTATTTTGACACCGCTGTGGTTATTACACTCTTGTTGTCTCCCAGCGCTCACAAAGGGCTACCTTTGTTAGAACAGAATGAAGAAGGCCCCTGAAGTCAGCTGAGCCACCGTGATTCTCATCTTTGGAAGTAGCATTCCTGGTCTGCATGTTAAGCAGCCCGACTTAATGGAACGCACCATCCAGGGGCTGCTGCCTCCTATCTGGCACATCCCCGCTTGGGGACGTCTACTCTTGCCCCCTTCTTCACTCTCCTTGGGCCCCCATCTGTGTCTTCCACCCACTCTTCCCACTCCCCATGAAGTGCTTGGCCACGGGGCACCATCCCTGAGTGAGGATTCAAAACAAAGGTGAAGGCTCTGAACAGTAGGGAGATAGTTTATCCAGGCTGTGGTCTGCTGTTACTGCCGAGTGGCAGATTGGGAGCCAGAACTCTCCTTGCTATAGCCTGCCAGCCTAATAGTGCTCCTTGGCATCTCCAGCCTTCTTTCAGAATGGCTTTTAAAATGTGAGCAGAATATGTGTATCAACACTGGAGTTGTCCCTTGGTCTCGGACATTCCTGACCCTGAAAATTAGTTGTTGACCTCCGTCTGAGAGAGTCACTCCAACCCTCTGGCACAGATGCAGGCCCGCAGATTCATACATATGCTTGCTGCAGATCTGCTGGTGGTATATACTACAGCATTTCTCACTGTCCCCAGCCAGAGCTGTACAATCCACTTAATTGCACACCCACACACACGTAGACATCAAGCCATCCACCTTCAACTTTAAATCTGAGCAGGTATCACAAAAAAATGAAATTACAAAAATAAAAATTCGTATGTACTTTTCCACCCCCGGAAGAACTTCTAATTGGTGGTTGTTGGTGGTGCTTGTGGTGTGCTGTGGATTCAGTTCTGACTCATAATGACCCTGCACAGGGTTTCCAAGGCTATAAATCTTTAAGGGAACAGAAAGCCTCATCTTTCTCCTGCAGAACCTCTGGTAGTTTCGAACTACTGACCTTGAGGTGAGCAGCCAGACATAATTGGTTAGGACTCGGAGTGTAGTGAGTTGAGTGAGCATCATGGTTTCTCTGAACTGTGACTGTGTAATAAGAGTGTCTGTCACCATACCATCAAACAGCTTGTTTGTTAGGAAGAGTAAATTGCATAGTTGAGGTGACCTGTGAGCCACCGCATACTTGTTCCAGAAGGTTTCAGACTTACTTGCACATGGCTCAATGTAAATGAAGGCAGCCAGGAGCAATGAGAGGGAAATGTAGACTAAACTTTCTTTTCCTGCCACTTAGCAAAAGGAGCTCTGGTAGAGTAGTGGTTACGCATTGGGCTGTGTACTGCAAGGTCAGCAGTTCGAAACTACCAGCGGTTCCGCGGGAGAAAGATGAGGCGTTCTGCTCCCGTAAAGATTTACAGCCTCGGAAACCCTGTGCAGGGTCGCTACCGACTCCACAGCACTTAACAACAACAACAAGCAAAAGGAGGTAATACGGCAAATAGAGAAAGGAAGGGAAGATCCTTTCCTCTTTTAATCCCTATTTGCCTGTACTCATTCCCAGGATCATTTCTCAAAACAAGCCTTTGGCAAACAGTAGTGTTTCCACTTGAAGCAAAGGTGATGTTCAAGAAAACGATAGGTTGGACCTGGCTCACAGTCATTCTTTGGGGGCATTGGAAAGGTATGGGATGATGGTAAGAGGCTAATCCTAAGGTTGGCACACGCAATAATAACTGATTTTTAAATCTGATATCAACTGAAGAACAGCACAAGTCTTAGAAGGAGATATTGATCAGGGATGGGTCATCACACAAAATCATGTCTTCCATATGCTCCCTTCCATTGGCTCCTCGTGTGGCGCTGTAAAATACGCACTGGACTGCTAACTGCAAGGTCAGCAGTTCAGACCCATTGTCTGCTCTTTAGGAACTCTATAGAGGGTCACTATGAGTTGGAACAGGCTTGATAGCACTTAACAACAACATTGGCCCTTGACTTATGTATTGGGGGCCACGTGATTTGATTTTCCTGGATCTGAGTTTTTCTGCCAGTAAAAACACCTAACATTTGCTGGGTATTTGCTATGTACTAGTCACAGAGAGGAGTCCTGGTGTGGCACTGTGGGCTAAAGCACCAGACGGCGGTTCAAACTCACCAGATGCTCCTCGGAAACCCTATACAGGGTTGCTATGGGTCAGAGCCGATTTGATGGAACTTAACAACAACAACGAAACAGTTTCAGAGGCACCTCAAAAAAAAAAAAAAGGCTTGGTGATCAGCTTCTGAAAAATCAGCCACTGAACATGCTATGGAGCACAGTTCTACTCTAACACACATGAGGTCACTGTGAGTCAGAATCAAGTGATGGCACCCAGCTGTAGTCCCTAGTCTTAAGTTTCCAGTGTGGACGGGTCTCTTCTAATCATCACAGTAACTTTATCAGGAAGGCATCATTCTCTGTACCCAATTAAGAGATGAGGAAACTAAACGACAGAGAGAGATGAAGTTAGAGGTTCAAGCCCAGGTAACTAGACCCCGGAACTTGCACTTGGAGCCACTACACTGTTCTGCTTTCATGAAATGTGCAGAAATGTGTTTTCTGAATTAAAGACAGACTTCGAGACTGAGCCCTCCTCAGTAGGACATACTCACTACTTGCTTTGAGAGTCTTTCTTTGGCATCCCTGAGAGCACCCTGGGAAAGCTCAAAAGACCCTGTTCTGACTTAGTGTCATGTAAGTGGCAGCTTTGGTATTTGCTGCCAGTTCACTAGCATCTTTCCTCTCTGTCTCCCACCCTATTGGAAAGAGAAAGGAACCAAACCTCTGGTTCAAAAGACAGTTTGTCCAGAAACTATAACTGATGTCATTTCTAAACAATTTCTGTTCTTGATGGTGTGGGCTTGGTTTTTTGTTTTGTTTTTTAAATGTGTTGTTAGTTTCCCTGAATTTCATCCGTGCTCAAGGCAAAAATAATTTGTTGTCCGTTTTCACTCACTTTTGGCTGTGGATCACCCAACTGCTTTGATCCTAGCCACCTTCTGTTTGTTAATATTGGCAAAAGTAGAAGGGACAAGTGATCCCGAGTATCCAAGGTTCCAGCATGGCCCCCCAGTGCCCAGCATAAGTGTAGATCTAAGGGATTTGAAAGCAGGTGTCTGTTTTGAACAGCTTCTATGGGGGAGGGTCCAAAAGACACCAAGTTGGAGGGTCATTACAACTGGTGTTTCCAGCCCAGTGACTGACATGTGCCCCTCTTTTTCTTGCAGCCCTTTCAATGACCGACCAATGTGCAGAATCTGCCACGAAGGCAGTAGCCAAGAGGACCTGCTCTCTCCATGTGAATGTACTGGGACGCTGGGGACAATTCATCGGAGTTGTCTGGAACACTGGCTGTCGTCCTCAAACACCAGCTACTGTGAACTCTGCCACTTCAGGTTTGCAGTGGAGCGCAAACCCAGGCCGTTGGTGGAGGTCAGTAAGTGGGGCACGTCCTGAAAACTTATTTCTAATGAGCAAATGATGTCTGCTTTTATGCCCAGAAAACACAATCCCTGAGCAGCTTCAATGAAGCACAGTAATAGCTCTGTATGAGTGTTTGTGTATGTGTGAGAAAGAGAAAGACAGACAGAAGCAGGAAGAGCACTCAGGAGCCGTTAAATAGAATGACCTCCATGCTGGTAGAGACAAAAGAGTATAGGAAAGCAGTCTTAGGTAAGGACGTTTGTTCCCCTGTGAAGTGGCAAAAATGATCAAACACTTTTCTCTTTGGACACCACCTACCCAAGTTGAAGTAACAGATAAATTAGGCTTGCATATACTCAGAGGTATATATGAAAAAAATAGAACTGCATAGTATAGGCCCAAACTTCCTAGGTTTTAATACTCTACTTTGAGATCTACTTTGGCTCCTCTACTTTGAGATCTGTGACTTTGAGTAAATTAATTCACCTGTTGGAATTATTAGAAGGATGAAATAAGTGAATATTTATAAAGTGCTTAAAAGAGTATCTGGCACATAGACAAGTGTTTGTTTAAAAAAAAAAAAAAAACTCTTCTGGGAATTTTTTTTTTTTAAGCTTGTAATCACTTTTTTAAGTGTTGGAATCACTTTTCTTAAAAGATAGTGCTAGCAAACCAGCCTTTAAAATAGTAGAACATTCTCTTTCAATTTCTTTGAGATCTATGAGTTTCAAAATGCCATTATACTATTTCTGCCTTCCTCCCACCCCCAACTTCTAGTTGTCAATTAAAAATTGAATATTGGCAACAATAAATATTCTGATATATTAGAAGCTGGAAAGGGGCCAAAATATTGACTTGTAATCTAGACCTCTTATCCCTTCCCCTTATTTCAGCAGCTAACCTGTTGAAAAACTCTGGAATTAAAACTAAATCTAGGTTCCTTTTGAAGACGTTCTATTTAAGCAGTATATTAGCACGTAGACACTTATTAAAGCTTTTTGAGCTCTGTATATACAATCTCTTGGTTTTGACCTTGAAAACTTAATCAGGACCTGTAATAGCGGCCTATTTTAGCTATTGACTTGTTTGCCAAGAGGCACACAATTTATTTGACTTGGCCCAATAGACTGTGCTTTTCTTAAGACTATGGATCAAGTCATCTCTTAATTTAGCTTTCTTGCCGCTTGACATCCACTTTCAGAAATTCATTTTTGTAGAGTGCCCATTGGGGATTTGGCCCTATGCCAGACTCCTTGGGATTTAACATTTCAGACCTTCTCTGTACAGGAGGAAATATAATGATTGAGATTAAATAATAAACAAAAGAGATGAAGATTTCTCAAGCCCAAAGGCAAAAGTAAAAAGAAGCCAATTTCTCTTTTCCAGAAACTTTGCGGAGCTTCCCTGGGTAGACATTGTAGCCTCTTCAGGGAAGCTGGTTTCCTGGACTAAGGAATCCCTGCTTTCAAATGGCCCCTATCCAACAGTTACTTTAACAGTGTCTCCCCAGTGAAGAAAACCTTTTTTTAAAGCCCACTGTGTGTGTCAGGAGGGTGTGTGTGTGCACATCGGCACATACCTATCCCTTGTGTATGTGCATGTCTTAATTTTGTTCAAATAATATGCATGTGTCGAATCATCTAGTGAGTCCTTTCCAACTCAGAGAGGGAAACATCCCCATACTCAGAGGTTTCTTCACAGTTGCCCATATTAGGCTACAGACAGACTCCAGGATCTCAGGCAATTGTCATTAAACGCGGGAACTAGGCAGATGACCTTGGGAACATGTGAGATGCTCTGCAAGATTTAGGGCCTCACCTACAAAAACGTCACCCAAACCATCACTGGTAGTGAAATCCTCATTGCACAAATGGAATGTGACATTTTTTCAGAGTTAATGATGATTGAACAAGTTGAAAGTAAACGGCGAGCCTTCTCAAGTTTGGGGAGGCTAGCCGTTTGATCATCCAGATCGAAATGAACTTGCTGTTTGACCACAAGCAGTAAAAAGAAGTTGTCTTTGGTTTCTCAGCTGAAGGCCAAATGAGAACCAGGTGCAAACAGGTTTTTAAGCACATGACAAATTACTAATTGACTTTTCCCCTCCTACCAAAGGGCAGTTATTCATAGTGAGCATTGTTTCTGATCATTTTTACCTTGAGATAAACATGCGTCTTTGTCGTAATAAATCAACACCAGTCTATTTCATTTAAGCCTTATGAGTACTGTTACTTTATTTCTCATTTTTACTCTCTTAATTGCTTTAATCATTACTTTATTTACCAATTGTATCTACCTTCCTGTTAAAGCAGGAAAATTCCATAACATTTAATGTCAAAATCAATGTGGCAGTAACAGTCCTTGTTGATAGAGGAAGCTGCTGAAAATTTGTAAATTGTATTTGTTAGCATCTAGTTATTCACATTGGTTGAAATCTTGAACATCTCATATGTCCTCGCTTCAGTACATTTACTCTTTCATTCATTGCAACCTTTCATTGCCTTTCTACCTCTCTTTCTCAGATTCTTGCCCTTCGCTTCCTTTTCCATACTCTCTGAGACATCTTTTCTTTTTCTTTTCCCCACAAGACTGAGTTTCTGTTTTCAACAGCTAAATCAGTGGGCTGGTTTGTAGTAACACCTTCAGGCTAGGCATCACCTCCCTGCTTTGCCACTGACCATCTGTGTGGTTTGGCTCAGTTTATCTGAATGACAACATGAAATTGGGGAGGCAGGGACGGCTGGAACTCTGCTTGACTTCCCTTAGTCTCTATCAGGCAAAAGTTCTTATGTAAAAAAGAAAAACAAAAAACATTCTACACTTAAAATGGACACACATTATATGTTATGTAACTTAGCCCTTAGTAAGTTAATTCTCTTTGTCTGCATGTGTATATGTACTTACCTATCTACCTAGGGAGGGAGCGTGGTGGCTCTGTACGATAAGCACTGGACTTCGAACCACAAGGTCGGCAGTTCAAATCCACCAACTGCTTTGCAGGAGAAAGATGAGGCTTTCTGTTCCCCCCCAAAATATAAAGCCTCAGAAATTCTATGCATGGTCGTTTTGAGGCAGAACAGACTCAAAGGCACTTAACAACAGCGTCTATCTACCTACCTAATTATCTACCTTCTCCGGTAGCGTAGTGGTTACGAGTCGGGCTGCCAACCTCAAGGCCAGCAGTTTGAAACTACCAGCAGTTCCGCGGGAGAAAGATGAGGCTTTCTACTCCCATAAAGATTTACAGCCATAGAAACCCTGTGCAGGGTCACTATGAGTCAGAACCAACTCCATGGTACTTAACAAGAACAGCAAACATTACCTACCTGCCTACATGGACAGACTAAATCTTTTGATCTCTTTTGCTGAATTCATTGCCAATTTTATAACTCAATGTTTTCTTGGTGCTAAGGAAGCCTAGTTGGTTTCAACCAAAGAAAATTGCATTGTAATAATCTAGCTTATTCAGATGTGAGTAAATTTTCTCTGTAGTCCAGCTAATACAAATCTCCTATGGTATGTGTCCAATCCTGCAAGGTTTGGGTGGAAATCATGTCAACTGTACATAGCGTAAAGGAAGAGAAGAAATAACAAATACGTTTCCTACTTCCACAGCTGGCACTTCTCTCAGAAAGGCTATTATTTCTTGTTGATAATGGAATACATACCCTGTGACTATTTATAAGATGAATTATCTCCAAGAATCATGACCCCATTGTTGTTGTTGTTAAGTGTCGTTGAGTCGGTTCTGACTCATAGCTAATCTGTATGGATTTCCAAGTAGCAGCTGGTGAGCTTGAACCACTGACCTTGCAGTTCAAACTAACCTTGCAGTCCAGCGCATTAACCCGCACTTCCACACCAAGACTCCTAATGACTCAATTGTTGTTAAGTGCAGTTGAGTCAGTTTCTACTCATAGCAATCCTGCATAGGGTTTCTGAGGAGTGGCTGGTGAGCTTGAACCCTGTATAGGGTGTCCGAGGGGTGGCTGATGAGCTTGAACCACCAACCTTGTAATTCAAACCAACCTTGCAGTCCAGTGCATTAACCCACAGCACCACACCAGGACTCCAATGACCCAGTATAACATAGTAAATAGTTACCAACTCACCATAAAAGAAGGGAACCCTGGTGGTACAGTGGTTAAAGTGCTTGTTTACCAATCAAAAGGTCAGTGACTCCAGCCACCACCTACTTTGCTGGAGAAAGATGTTGCAGTCTGCTTAGGTAAAGATCTACAGCCGTGGAAACCCTATGGGCAGTTCTGCTCTGGCAGATAAGCTCTCTCTGAGATGGATTCTACTCAATGGCAGGGGGTTTGGTTTGGAGCCATAAAAAGATTCACTAAATGACTAGCTGGGAGGCTTTTATATTCTTCCTTCTCATTTTTAGTTTTCCTCATTTCTCTTTGTAAGTTGAGCGCTGCTACCATTATTTTTTTAAACTAAGGGTCAAATATCAATAAAAACATTATGAACTGTTCTCAAAAATGTATGCCTTCACCTCAACCTACTGCCATTGTTGCATATCTGATTAACCAGTTTACCAAAGAAGTCCATCATTCTATGTTCAAATAACACACTTGCAACATCGCTTTCTAATACTGGGAGTATTTGCCCCAGGGGTTCCTAGGACTTGTAACAGTGGTACCAACCCTTGCCAGGGAAACTGTGAGTAATAGATCAGCTCAGCAGTGTTGTGATTAAAATGAAACAGCCAGGAAGCAGCGGAAATCTGGAGGAAAGGTTTCATAGGATCTGATCTTCCTCAAATCAGGGAGAGACAGTGATTTTTCACAGAGGGAACGATTAGGTTTCCGTATTTCTATTTCCTTTACGCAAACCTAGCTGATTGATAAGAATTGTATGAACAATTTTAAAAGCTGTTCCCTATGAGTCAGAGATTTAGCTAAATTGAAACAGAGTATTTTCAGACATATCAATTACTCAGAATAATGGAATGTAAAGCTAGGGAGATGAGGATTAAGATTTTTTTCAAACTTTGTTAT